AACCGGTTGAAATACGGAAAAATAGGAAGCACAGACAAAGTAAACGAACCGAGGTCACCGAACAGATGAGTGAGGGACCTTCTCCTCGATTGTATTAGATTGGCCCACAGTAATTGGGGCTTGTTGGCAAAGACAGAACCGCAAACAAACCAGTATAATATTATTTACTTCCCTTTTCAAGTTTATCTGCTCTACCATCCATTTTTATTCCAACTTCTCATTTTTTTTTGATTTTTCGTCGTCATTCTCGTGATTTATTGGAAGCTTTTTACAGCCAGAATGGTACTGGTCCCTGTTGGAGTTCGGTGTGAAGTTGAAACGACACGCTCCCTACTTTGGACTTACAATCGTTATGCCTACGGTAAGTTGCTAACGATTTCTTTGACATTACGTCATTTCAAATTCTCTCTGGATCCACGCCACTGAAATTTGATACAAAACTGCGCTTGAATATTCAGTCCTGCGAGGAAGATGATGTGGCCATGCTCACCTGACATTCTATTCTATTTATATATTCACCTATCGTAGTTGGCGTAGCGGCTGAGGAATCATGTTCCATGAGAGTTGCGCAGGTGCCCAGCTTCGCGACTCTGGGAGATTATATCTTTGGGTAGGGAAAATGAGGGTGGGGAGAGATTGGAAAGGTCATTAGGGAAACAGCTGCAGAGTGCAATATTGAGAACCGGTCTTGATTCTAGTTTTTTTCCTTGATTAAGAATGAAATGTTTCCAATCATTGAGAGATATGGTTTTGATCGGATTAAAAAATAAAAGGGCGAAGGTGGTGTGACGGCAAGAGGCGCCATTTCAGATGTGCAGGTCCAGGTCGGATCGGATCCCGCCTAGAACATGCAAGCCTTGATCCCTTTAAGACCGATCAAACGATATTTACCAGAACCTTCTGGTAGGATAAAAGCACTGACGTCTACAGCGGCTCCCTCGCTGGAAACTGTATCGGCTGAATCGCATTCAAATACCCCTGTGATTGTGAACGGAAGTCGAATGTGTGGCGCATTCCATCGTGTTAAAAGTGGTGTTGAGTTTACGAAGTTGTTGTTTACGACATCGCCGTTGTTTACCGATTAGTTTAGGAGGAGCACAGGGAGCGGATACAGTTTTTAGAAAGTCAGAGTAGGCCTTTGTCGGAACGTTTTCAAGTTTGATTCAGAACAGAAAAGAATTAAATTTTGAAGAAGCGAATTCTGGCCTTACTTGGCCTTTGAGGTGATTTGCGTTTGTTCGCTGATTTACTGGCCTATTTCCGGATCCCCAGCTGGGAACTGTTTTCATGTCCGTCCTGAAAAGGATCTAGGTGTGCTTGACGCATAAGGAATATGATCTGAAAATGCATTTCCTGAATAGCTGCGATAATTAAATTTTCTCAACTTAACCACTGTTTAATTGTCCTGAGCCTGCTAGTACTCGCAGAACACACCGCAAATTTTGCAGATTATAACCTGCCTGTTGACGCTGAGCTCGTTCTGGATAGATACTCCATCGATGGCGATCGCGTTGGTGATATTCAACGTTCTTCTTCAAGGTCTCTTCGGTTGGGACCTCATCCGCGAGTTGCCTCCGGGTAGTGGAAGCATTCCCAAAATTGGTTCGTTGCACAGAATTGTTACAAAATTTGTTGAAAGCTGCTGAAAAAGGCTCGCTAGGTGTTTAACCTTCACAAATTTGACAGTGAATTACTGAAAAACCGGATTTGTTTTTTCTATTGAATTCCTTGACAAAGTTCAGAAAGGCTTTATTCTAAGATGGTTTTTTGTGTAAGTCTTTAGGAATATTTGGATATTTCCATGAGAATGATACTGGAATTTTTAACTATAGAGGATCAGTTCTTCGTTACAGTATCTCTATACGGATTCAATCTCTCAATGACGACGATTGCCTTCATTGTTCATGTACTGTCGCAGTTCTTCGAATCAGTCCTGCCGGACGATCTAGAACTACCAGAAAAGGTGAGTTGGGCAGACTGCTCTATTTCACGTTCTTTTTGTTCTCGTTTCAGATATCATGGTCGGCCCTCTTTTTATAGCAATCTCCATCATCCTAGTTTTTTCTTGTTTCTTTTTTGTTTTCCCTCCGCGGGCAGCATACGGTCCCAGCCGAAACGCCAAAAGGGCTGGTTTGCTTACCTCACAGCACTCGGTGCCCGTTGCGCTTATTTATCGAATCGGTCCAAAAGTAACCCAGGTCGTAATCGGACGAAGACGCTTTGAGGGATAGGCGCGCTCACCTTAATTTCTTCCACCGTCCCCTCCCTCCTAACGTCATGAGCGTCTAGGAATAAAACTGACTTGGACAAAGAGCTGGCTATTTTTCGTGTGTACCATTACTATTCAATCTCCCTTGGCAGTCTAGAGAATTTCACCACGTGGGCCCACCTAGGGCACTCCTGATCGACTCAAGGCTATGTTCTCCTTATCAATTAACAGCAATTTGGCTGGATTGCACACAGGAGGGATTTGCTTTAATGAGAAGAACGACTGTGATGAGAACTTTGAAACTTCGTTTATTAGGAGTATGAGCAAGCCGATCTGGGCCTGACCACTTATCGTCCGCCCGGTCCATACTCTCAATGGTTTCTCTATGAAAGAGAATGTTTGTTGCTGTATGTACTGTGTAGTGGAAAACCTCACGTGCATTCCTTATAAAACACATTTTTCATTTAGGTGACTACGCTGCCTGAGAAGCTACGAATCGGTCAACTTTTCCAAGTGAAGGGGCTTTCTTTCGATCCTCAGCTGTAAGTTCTTTGAAATTGTTTCTCTCAATTTCAGACCCTGAGCATTCGGCCATTAGCCTGCCTCATGTTCTTTTTTTATTTCTCACTGTATTCCTCGCTTCTATCTCCATTTGGCCCTCACTATTATGCTATTTATCCTCATCTTGTATGTTTATTTTTTATACTTCTACTTTGTCGTGCACTTTTGTGTAGTTGAAGTTGTGACGAAAATAAAGTAAAGGGGGTCACTCCTTGCTATCTCATACTTATTCTTAGAGAGCACTCCTCCCTCCTCAACAACTACAGTCCATATCTCGAGGTCAGATTAGGTGTGTCTATGGATTTGACGTGGCCGTCGCCGCACTTGATAGAAGCCGTGTGGATAAGCTGTTTCTAACATACTCCGCTGGATATCAGCAAAGCATGCTGGAAGCAGCTTATCCGCGCAACTTCTATCA